TTTGTTCTCAGTTTCTTAACCAAAAATACTGTTTTGCCACCAACTGAATTGATTCTTTCAAGACTGAAAGCACTAGTTCTCCAGAATGCTGCCACGGAATACATTGAAATACTGATTAGTTTATAATACATGTGTAGTAATGCTGGAGGTAGGCTATACGATCTTGTGTATTGTATACGATATGCACAATGTAGTTTTTCAAAGCTTTATATATAAACATAGATGCTTTGTATGTTATATGTAAAAACCATACTATTATGAGCTGAAACGTAAGCTAGATTGCATTTGTGCAGGTGCAGTTTGTTTAGGATAATTGTGGCTTTAAATGTTCACTCTGCTGTATGCAAAAGGAATCTTTCCACCTATATTGCTTATAAACTGCACTTAAGAATTAACTAGGGGAGTCTGTTCTTCAGAACCGGATTGTCTGAAAAAGGAAAAAATTAATAGATGCCCTATCCATTTTTGCAGATTTTATTCTACTTACTGTTGGGTTCTTTTACAGATGGTTACAATTGAATCTTGGATTCGAGGTGGAATTCTAAAATTGGCATACTCTAATTGTTTACCTATAATAGGAGATTTCTGGGTCCAGGGGGAGCAGAAGAGGGATGCAGAAATGTAGATGAGGTGGGTAGGTATATAAGAGTTTGTACAGGTTTTGAGATAAGGTAGTTGGTGTTGTGTAATCACGACTGCTGTCAGACACCTAGTCAGCAAGAAAACTGTTGTCGTTACCAACAAATTATATCCTCCTCTTGAGAAATTAGATAGAAGAAATGTAGGTGGGGGACTGTGATTGGGTAGAGTATCTGAAGGGACCCAATGAATGCAGAAATCTTTAAAAGATGTTTGTATGAGAATACTGTAGAATAATACTGAGCTACTAAAATAAGACTTGGTAAATCGCTATGGGATAATGAAGATACTGGTTTTTTATTTATTTTGAGGAGAGAAAAATAGAAGTAGTTGTAGATGTATTTGAAATAGAGAATTTCAGTGCAGTGCTGAATGAGTGGGAAGTGTCAGTCCTTTATACGTAGAAGGGAATAAATGAGCAGAAGTGCTGCATGCTTGTATAAAGCAGGAAGTGTGTATGCACGTGTGTGAATTGCACACAAAGCGGTGCTGCCATCTCTCCTCGCTCTCTTTGTTTTTGAGACTTGGCTAGTGGAAGGTAAATAAAACTAAAATATTAACATCTGTAGTTGATCACACCTGTTCGAAGATCCTTCTTTCCATTGCCAGCTGGACACAGGTTCTCCACCTATATAAAAACAGGGAAAAATGTGTTTGTCAGATTTATAGCAACTTAAAAGAACTTGAGCTTAAGTCCTTACTGAGTGTTTGCATTTGTGGGGTTTTCATATGCTTTCTGTGAAGCATCTGCAAAGTGCAGTGCAGAGTATTTCTTTGTTTCTATTTTTACGTTAGATCCTTTTAGAGCAAGTGAGGTATGGCCATTTGTAATTGCTCTTAAGGAGGTTTCTATTACTTAAACCCCAGCAATTAAAAGTGTTTCTAATGGTTCTGCTACTTTGAAAGCAGGATGCTATGGTGCACATGGTTCAGAAGGAACAAGTTGGCTGTCAGTGCCATCACTAGAGAGAAGGACTGCAGTAAGAAACGTGCAGGCGATATTAAACTCTGTCTCTTGTTGCCTGTTGTGAAACAGGAATAGTAGACATCTTGTTGTGGACTGAAATTGTATTATTTCACTCTTAACTTTTAATATTGGCTTCCTGCTGTAGCAAGCAAGAACACAACTTTTTCAATAGTTGGGGGGGGGAAATCATTCTTACGAAATTGTTTTTCGAGTCTGACCACTGGTAGTCCTTCCTTACTATTCTTTTGCAGAACACCCCAGATATGGACTTCATGGTTTATGCAACCTGAGTTTTCATTTTAGCAGCTGTGTATTCTAAATGGACAAGTATCATGCAAGATTGGATGCTAAAACCAGTCTGTGCTTTGCTTGTGGTGTAGTGGGTATGTTCCCAGCTATAAGGGATAGGTTTTGGATGCCTTGTAAAGTTCAGTATACCTGAGTAAGCCATGTCTTGCAACAAAGAATGATGTACTGTAATCTGTTCTACATAAATGTTTTCTTTTGATGCTAATCCGTTATGTTTAACGGCTGACTCTGACAATGTTTGTTTGCGCGATGGTGGTCTACTCTCCTAGTCTGCTAACTCTTTTGACCGAAATGCTTATCTGGTTAGTCTTATTTAACACCTTTTCCTTAGGAGTGCTTCATTTCTGTACTTGTTTAGTAGACCAGAGAGGACATCACTCCTTTATTTACATAGAAGGAGTCTTCAGAGCACATGGGAAAGCTGCGGACTTTTCTCTCCTTTATCTCTAGTTGTTTCCCTTGTGAGGCAGAAGAGGAGGGAATTGAGTGGAAGGAAGCATATAGCCACTAAGTGTTTGGCTATTTTAGTACCTGAAGCTCTTTTCTCAAACCTATTTTATATCTGTGTGCTACTGAGAAAGCAGGCTGCACAGGTTGCATTCAGTATCAAAATACTGTATTGCCTAGAGCGTTCCAACGGTGAGAGAAGAGAAGCTGAGGTAGGTTACCTTTACTCTAAACACAGCAAGCTTTTTGCATTGTCAGTGCATCCTATTCTTGTGATGAAAAATATCCCACTGGAAGCCAGCCTCTCTGAAGAGGAGAAACAGAAGTGCACTGAAAAGCTCTTTATATAAGTAGTTTTCAAACTCTAGTTTGCATTCCAGAATTTCACGTCTCATCCTTTTCCAGTAGGCAAAAGAGGAACAGATCTTCAAGTTGTGCTTTATAGGATATGCTCACAATTAATTTTGTAATAGAGAATTTTTAAATAGTAGTAAATACATACCCATTGGTTTGGGGTCTCATACACCTTGAGCAAGTAATGTAGTGGGGTGGGGTTAGTGATGTGACAAGACTCTTTTATAGTCTAATTTTTCCAAAATGTTTAGAAGTTTTTCTTATTGTCATGTTACTCTTGCATTTTAACTTGAGGAATCAGTTAGGATTACATCCCGGCCTTGCTGAAGAATTTTTCTTCTATGTGATGCTTTTGTTTGTTGTTTGTTTTAATGTGGCCTTTGGTGTATGACCCCGTTTTGAAAGTGCAGATTTGGTTGTTTCCTGAAAGTAGAGAAAACTACTGGCATATATGGAAAAAAGATACATCAAGGACAATCTTTAATCTTAGTTTCTGTATCCTTAGTTTCTGTATCTGCACCCCAACCTGCAGTTGCGTAGCCCAAATAGTGAGAGAATTTACGTCTTGATGTATTGAGTGAGAACGTCATGAAAGGGGTGTAGAATGAATCTTGCTAGAGTTGAATTGTGTTGACTTGCCAGTTCCTTCCTTGGGACGTTTTCTCTAATCTTTTAAATATCTCTTAATTTTCTTATTAGTTAATACCATTACTGGAATTTTTAAAGACTAGTCTGTAAGCTGACGGAACAGGACATGTCAATATTTGCCTGGAACCGCATCCTGCAAAACCATGACTGGTTTATCCTGTTAAGACTTTTTTTTTATTATTTCTTAAGATCGGCTCAGTTTTATATTGTAATAAAATGCATATACTGAGCTTTGATTTGAATGGAAGAAAAGTGTGCAGTCAAACAATACATGAAGCTATCTAAGGAAATAGCAGTTAAAATATGGACAATAACTTCCAGTCATGAGTTGCTGTCGGTGCTTTTTTCAGATGTGTGGAGGGAAAAGCTCTCAATTGTTCTGAAGTTGGCTGGTAACTGAATCCATGCTTGTAGGGCCTGACAACAAAACGATTTTTTGTTCATGATTTGCACTCATCTAGGACATGCCAACTACTATGCACAAATAGAACATAATGTATGAGCAGGCCAATATATGTTGCTCAGTTCAGTGAGTTACTAGAAGATCATCATTTATTGTGAAAATAGTTAATATTACAGGTAGAAGCTGCTCAGGGGATTTTAGATTTCTGCGTGAATGAGCAAGACGTAATTACTTCGAGGAAGTACACTCTGCTGTATGTGATGTAGCTATAAGATGTGCAAACTTGGCACAGCTCTTTCTGAATGTTAGTTGAAAGCTTCTCATTAATTTAGTAAGCAATCCTGAGATACTGACTCTGGGGCAAACCCGGGGATGCTTGATAAAAGAAGCAATGGGATTTTCTACTCCTGCTGTTTGCAAATAAAAGTTCTTTTTAAAAAAAAAAAAGTATTCTAATGCTCTCCCCAAAATTCTATTGGATTCCATCTGGCCTCATCATCTTTGCTGTGGTATGGTCATATGTGATTCGAATGTCAAGTAAGTGACTTTCTTTCCCTGCCAGGCCATTCAGCAGCTTGCACCTTCTTAGTGCTGGTGCGATACTTGTGCCTCATGTGCTCTTTGCAAGGATCAGCACTTCTAGACTTTTCCTGATCATAGCAGACGAGCAAGAATGCAGATGAAACTGTAGAAGGTTTGGCATGTACAGTTTTAGCAAGGTTTCTCTGTTCATTGAACAGCGGGGACAGAAGCCTAGTAAGTAGGGACTGACCTGAAAGAACTGACAGAAATAACATTTGACAAAGCAATCCCCCTGCCCTCTTCTCCCCCCACATTTAGCACTTTTAATCATGTTAGCTCTGCAAGTCATGAAATATTTAAATTATTGATTGAAACAGATGAGTTCAAAGGCAGAAGTGTAATGGCTTCCAAGCTTGGAAATGCATTTAGGTGGTGGGTGTGACTTGATAAATGAGCACATTATTCTAAGTTCTCTTCTTTGGAATTGTTTGTGGAGTATGGAACAGAGTCTCTGAGCTTAGAGAGTTTGTCTTCTCCATTTAAGAAGCGTGCAAGCTGTCTTGCTAGTGCGAAGGTGTGCGTGTGTGGGCAATACTGGAAAAGGGTTAACAGAAGGTTCTTTGGCTCTTGGTCGGTGCTGAGTGCTTAGGTTGAACACTGGTTGGAACTCCTGTCATGTTAAGTCTGTGTTTCTTTTCTACCTTTTTTCAGGTAGCGGTGCTACAGCAGTTGTCCAGGCAGCGCTATGCAAACCCAGGCAAGAACGCGTAGCAATAAAGAGGATCAACTTAGAAAAATGCCAGACCAGTATGGATGAGTTACTTGTAAGTAAATCAGAGGGGAACCTATTGTCAGGAGACAGTCTTCTGTTTTGATCTTGATTTTTTGCTTGGTGTAGGAGTGAGGGTAGGATTTTACGCAGGAGACTAGTGGGGGGAAAAGGACTTAAACTAATCTCCAAGAAATGTGCCCTTGCCCTAAAACATGTCAGACAAATATGTACTTCCTAATGCCACAAAAAGAAGAGGTACAAATTTGAATCCTTTGGGTTAACCAGCTGTTGAGAGCTCTGGGAAGAACCTTAACCCTTGCTTTCTGGAGACTTGGTTTTTGAGAGTTTACTCTCTGGTTGTCTGTTGTTTCTTAATACTGAGGAAGGGTATATTTTCCTTTATTTAAAGACTGATTAAAAATACAAAGGTAGAAGTTAATAGGTCTCCTTAAAATGTCTAAAGCCCAAAAAAAGGCAAAAACTAGTTGTTGGAATGTTTTTGTAATGATGACATTTTGAGGGGTGGGGCTGGGGTAAGAATGGTTATGTGGTGGTCCACACAAGGAAACTCTTGTTAACGCTAATAACGCACAACATCCAGTAACATCCAATAGGCAGTAACAAACCATATGAAGAATGCTGTTTGGGTCACTGATCAAAGGAGGACGGGACCTGTAGGGTGCCCTTTGTAAAAGGTACTACAAGAGTTTTTCCTCTGCACTGGTTGTAGCAATCCAGACGAAGTTGCAAAGAAATTTAAAAAAAAAAAAAAATTGAAGTTGTTGCTTTCTGTCATTCGTAGTCAGGTTTTTATGAGCCTAATGCTTATTTATGTATAGGCAGCGTAACAAGAATTGAAGGATGCAAAACCATTCTAAAAGTGAGAACGCTCTCTTCTGTTCCACAGGTTATACTACTGCCTAGAGACTGTGGGCTTTTTCTAATGCAGAAATTCCTGCCTCTGAAGGAAATGATCTCCTCAGCAGGGAATTGCCAGTTCAAAAGATATCTTGAATTTGATACAGAGGGTATGGTCCATCTAGTTTCTTCAGATAAAATGGATTGTTTACAGTGGAGGACCCAAAATGCTCTTCCCCTGGTGATTGATGGCAATTGCCTTCAGTTTACGTAACAGCTTGTATGGGACATTGTTGTGTTTTCAGAGGGCTGTGGCAGTGAAATCTACCTCTGAGGTAGTGAGTTTTCTGTCCAACTAAACTCAAAACGTAAGTGTAGCTCTGCACTGTGTTTAAAAGAGAACAGCCCAAGGTGAGGCTGTGCATGATGTATTAACATCTACAGCCCATGAAGAGCATTTTCATAAGACTACCAACACTATCATAACGTGATATAAAATGATCAAACTTTTTTTTTTTTAGCAGAATTCGAACTAATGGTGGGAGTTAAGAATAAAAAACATTATAGCAAGTAAAAACGGGCAAAACTACCAAAACTCCACACAAGATATGCAGGTGATATGGAGACATGGTTACAATTCAATACCATTTTGTACAAGTTACCTTAGCAAGAACCTGGGTGATCTTTACTGCTGAGATGTCTCCACTGTCTGCCAAATGAGGCAATAGATCTGGAACTTCTGGTCTCACATTGCTTTCTTTTTGTGTAAAGGCAACTGTCTATGCCATCGTTTTTTAATATGAGTCAATATCTGCTTTTCTGTATTCAGATTTTTTTATTATTTGTTAAACTGTATCGATCTGAACATAGATTTTTGGCTCTCTGAGTTCATAGGACTGCTTTAGGAGGGTAACAAAAAGGCCATGCATGATGTTTGTTTATTTTATAGGTGTATACACACACAGGCACACAGACATAACTAAAATTTTTTTTCCCTGAGGGAAAGTATATTTATTCTGACGATTCTAATCTAGAGATTTTTAAGTTTTATTAAAAAAAAAAAAAAAAAGATATTCTGGAAAAGGGCATAACTTACCTTCAGAAATGTTGCTATACCTGTACAAACACTTTTATTTCAGTTAATATTTACAGTGCCCCTGGATTTGAGTTTTTTAACATCATTTTTGAATCTGTTCAGTTTTTAGTCACTTAGTTTCTGATGAAACAGTTTCTTTGGCATAAGGGTCTTCTAAAACTCTGTTCCCCAAACATGGGGAACAGCTTTTGTAAAATCCTGCTGATAAGTGCTTGCGGAGGATGTGCAAAGTCACTCTTGAGAATTTCTCACCTATGTGGTCTTTAGAGAAATGGAAATGCAACAAGCCTGATGCTCATATAAGCAGACTTAGGATTTGGGCTGTTGTCAATTAAAACAGAAGGGCAATAGGGGAGGGAGTTTAAATAATACCATGGTTACTTAAACTGCCATACTCTGAAATTCAGTACTCTGTTTCCTGCATTGTCTGTGTTCTCACTGTTGTAAGCTAAATGTAGCTTAACTCCACAAACCTGGGAAAAAGTTCCTGTCTTTGATGTTATCCTGACTGGATATCTTGCCTCATCCCCTTATCCCCAGTCTTAAAAAGAAATAAAATTTGCAGAATAGCTTATTCTCTGAGCTTTAGGAAAGATGATAAGCTCAGAAGAGCATGAGTAAAATGCTGGTTTGAACTACTTCTTAATGTTCACTTCAGCAGTAATCCTACGGTACATTCTTGTATATACTATCTTTTAGACAGTGAACAAATGCTATCTGTTATTAAGGAGGAACTCTTGTATCCATGTGCAGGCTTGGCTGATACAATGGAGTACTTCAGATAAATATGAAACTCATGAAGCTGTTCAATAAAAGTAAAATGAAGGAGGAAGCTTTTATCCAAAGGCCCTGACAGACCTATTGCTAGATAATTGTCTCTCAACAATAAACTTTATTAAAAACTGTTTGAAATTCTGCTCTGGGTAGGCTCCTTGAAAGAGCCCCTTGCATTTTATGGCCAATCCCACAAAAGTGCCAGATTCTGGGTGCCCATGAATTAGGTCCTCAAGAAATACAAGCACAAGGAAACCACCTACCTGTTCACTTGCGTGAACAGGTCTCGGCCCTGCTCGTGAATACTACAAGTTAGCACTGCCAGCAAAAATAATTGTCTCACAGCTGCTCATTAGTATGTCACCTACCCTTATGCTGACACATGTCTTTGTGTGGCCTATCCATGAAACTGGATCAGAAATAACCTGGCCAAAGAGAAGTTAACTTTTAACCTGGGCATGCGTCCTGATGCAGTTCACAAACAGTTGTGCTAGCGCGAAGGAGGGAGCAGCGCAGAAGCAGAAAGATGAGGGAGAGATTTTAAATAAGTGCCACTATGGCTTTGGTGCTGTCAAATGTCTAAAGTAAGTGAAGTGAATGTGAAGAGTAGTCCTAGCTGTTCTCTGGATATCCTACTATAAACTGACAGTATTATTTTAGGTGAATGATTTCTCTCTCACCTGTGCATATCCTAGACCTCAGCCAAATAGGTGAAGGTGGAGGTTTACCATGAAATAAATTGTGTGAGATGTGGTATCTGGAATTGAAGGTGTAAACTGATACTTTCTCAATTGAATTATAATCCCATATCTCCCATGGACTGTTTTTCATTTGATTTTGTTTTGCAAAGACTTTATTTGAAAAAGTCACCAAAGCTGAGGCCTGAAGTGTCTTCGGACCTTGTTACTGTGATTGCTCAATTTTTGCTGCCAATTGATGTGGGCAGCCAAAATATTCAAAGCACTCTTCCGTTAAAGATTGTGAAGCTTGCTTCAGACAGCTAGTTATATTTCTGCCGTGTTCATGTGTGTCTAAAACGGATGAGATGCATCTTTGCCCAGTAGTGACAAGTAGACTTTGTGCGCCGTTGTGATGTTTCCAGCGTAGGAAAACAATAAAACAATGTAAGAAATGAAATAGCAATGTAGAGTGAGAGTGTTACAGTTAGGATTTGATATGGAAAGCTGAATTAAAATCTTGAGTAGTTTGACTTGAGTTTAAGCTGGCACATCTGCTGGGAAGGGAAAATGTGTCCCAAATTTCTTTTCCACTATTTTCCCCCTACTTTCTCCCACTAAAAAAATGTTATTTTGCAAATTGATCGGTTGGGCTCATTGCATGGCTACACAGACATTCCTCCTTGTGTAGTTCAGGGCTGAGAAGCAGTCTAGGGAGGAGGACTTTTGACAACAGGACTGGCTGAGATATGTGTCATATACAGTGTGACTTAGTAATTACCAAAAAGCATGATGAGATTAAATCAAGGTCTTTAATGCAATAATTAATGTTGTATTGGAAAGCTGCTGTGGTGTGATCTCAAGTGCGTTGCAAATAACCGACAAAGTCTTTAAAAACATCCACTGAAATAAGGCTGAAAGTTGAAAATGGCATCTGTGGCAGCTTTAATCAATCTAATTGGGATGGCCAGAGTCCCTGTCTTTTCAGGGAACGAGGGGAGGTGGAATAATTAGTTTTCAGCTGTATTGGCTTGCTGACTGGCTTGCATGTCCTCCGGCTCCAGAGCTGGAGAAGGGCCACGTGGCTGGTGACAGAGAGGCAGAGGGCGATAGGACTGTGGTAGTTTGAGTTGCTGACGCCAAACCCTCAGGTACAAAGGAGGCCTAAAGGCCTCTACAGAGAGAATTCAAAGCAATGCATATTTGCCTGAAAGGTGTTAGAAAAAAAATCTTTATGTTAAACAGTGAATAGAAGAGAACTCTACTTGAACTAAAAAATACAAGGCCTTCATTCTTAATGTGTACAGCTGTGCTGTGTCATAGATGGTGTTACTTGGCAGTGCCATGTCATGCATCTGTTGGTGACTGTATGTTCCTCAACTCGATTGTTTCCTCTGGCTTTTCCTCTCAATCTGTAACGTTACTTTTTCCTCTTGCACTCCTGTCTGCTTATTTGGCTCTGTGGTGTCCACCTGTCCATCTAAGCAGTAAGCAGAGCCAGTGATGCAGTCCATCTGTCCTACAGCCTCTTTTCTTCTTCTTTCCCTTCTGCCCCCATTCTACTGTTTCTAAATCACTTTTGAACAGGAGAGGCAATAGGTTTTGATCTTTCCTCAAGTTCTGTTATCCAGCCTGTGCCCCCACCTTCAGCTCTTGGAGACTCTTCATTCTTCATTGCTCACTCTGAACTTGGAACTTTAACAATAATTTCTCTGTTGCTCTAAGAAGAAAATTGATGCAGATATGTTTATATCTCCTGGCCAAACCTCCCTTATGTTCCTTGCGATGTGTTTTGTCTTGCATGTAGATTTATAGGTAAATTGAAATGTTTTGGTGCCTTAATGCATATTTTGTGCTTATTTCAGTACTGTTACAGAAATCGATTAAACTTTCACTGTACTCGAGCAGAACTGACAGCTGGCCATATTATGCTGGGCTTTGTATTTCTTGCAGAAAGAAATTCAAGCAATGAGTCAATGCAATCACCCCAATGTGGTGACCTATTACACGTCTTTTGTGGTGAAGGATGAGCTTTGGCTAGTTATGAAGCTGTTAAGTGGGGGTAAGTTACTGTTTTTACCTGTTTAGTTGCAAGGAATTTATTTGAATTCTATAATGTTTGTACCTTATTTGAGCTAAGTGACCTACACCAAGCAAGGAAGAAGAGAGAGAGAGACTGTATTGGGATGAACCTTGAGAGAAAGGCATGCTAAATAACATAGTAGGAATGTGTGAGCTTAAAAAGTTTATGTATGTATATTGATATTGCATACAAAGAATTACTGAGATAAATTCTCTTGCTTTAATAACTGTAGTTTTATACTCTGAATCAATATATTAACG